TCTCTCTCTCTCTCTCTCTCTCTCTCTCTCTCTCTGTGTCTGTCTGTCTGTCTGTCTGTCTGTCTGTCTGGTGCTAACCTGTGAAGGTGGCGCCTGGTTGCAGGTACGAAGACGAAGCTGGAGCTATGGCGCCACAGGTAAGTCTCCCTGGCCTCCGCCAACCATCTCTCTCTCTCCAACGCTACTCTTGCTCCTAATAGCGCCCTCCGCTGAAGACTACTGCTGACGCTACTACTACTACTGCAGCGCTCCTCCAGAGTGCTGCTGCCGAATCCTGAAGACTGCCTCCTGCCTCCTGCACGTGAAGTGCCTGGGAAGTTCCTAGGAACTACCTCGTGACTACCTGCAGCCTGTAGGGCGGGCCAGTCTTATATAGTGCTGGCCCGTCCAGGAGGCTGCTCTTGCCAATGCCAAAACGTGCCAGACCCTGGCGTTGAAGTTCAAACAAAGGTTGTCTTGAAAACAGGCCAAAAATGGCCTGTGCTAAAACCCTGGTCTGTTGCCTAAGTTTCAGGGCAGGTCGATCTTATGGGTGCCTGCAAATGGCCCTCCGTTTCAGGCTGAAAAGACTGAGGGCCTGGAGGGCCCTTTTTTAGGCTGAAACAACACAGGGCCTGTAGGCCCTTCGTTTTCAGGCTTTTAGGCTGAAACGACACAGGGCCTGTAGGCCCTTGTTTTCAGGCTTTTAGGCTGAGAACGCTGGTCGGGCCCTGCAGGCCCATGTGGCTGCACAGTATGCCACACACACACACACACACACACACACACACACACCCGCCCCTCGCTTCCTATGGAACTCTACCCCCTACCCCTTTCCTTCCTCCTTCCACTTGTTTACTACGAGTAAATGCATATGAATGAGCATCGCTAAGAGACCAGATAAAAATATAAGCTGAAGATCTGAAGAAAAATAAACAGGAGTACATCTCCCCTTTTTCTCTGCCTCAAGTGTGCCGATATTGCACACGGGGATGCGGGCAGCTGGCTCTAAACCACAGTCAACCTGGCCAGCCGTGTACGTGAGAGGCATGGTAAAAAGGGAGGTGCAAGAACAAATAGCAGGGAAAGAGGTTATAGGGCAGGTTTACCCTAGGGTATAGGGCATAGTAGGGTCCGCCAGCGGATCAAGTAGGTCACCTCAGGGCTGGTTTTTAGAATGTTTTTCAGGGATACATGGCTAGAGGGTGGGGATGCTCTAATGAAAGTATGGGCTTGACTGACAGTCAATCCTTCCCAAGGGAAGAAAACAATGTTGTCAGAGTTCGCTGGGCCGTAATGTGAGGAAGCATGTCAAAGGGTTGTATTTGAGATTTTGACTCGCCGGTGGATTAGGAACCGAACTGACGCTCCCCAGAATAGAAGGATTGTTCAGTGAAGATAAGAAAGGGGG